CACACCATGCGCAATTTATTCTGCAACACACCCTAAAACCAGGATTTATTTCCATGTTTAGACTCCCAGTTCCCTCAGCTCCCAGTTCCCTCAGCTCCCAGTTCCCTCAGCTCCCAGTTCTCTCAGCTCCCAGTTCCCTCAGCTCCCAGTTCCCTCACCTCCCAGTTCCCTCACCTCCCAGTTCCCTCAGCTTCCAGTTCCCTCAGCTCCCAGTTCCCTCACCTCCCAGTTCCCTCAGCTCCCAGTTCCCTCAGCTCCCAGTTCCCTCAGCTCCCAGTTCCCTCACCTCCCAGTTCCCTCAGCTCCCAGTTCCCTCAGCTCCCAGTTCCCTCAGCTCCCAGTTCCCTCAGCTTCCAGTTCCCTCAGCTCCAGTTCCCTCAGCTCCCAGTTCCCTCACCTCCCAGTTCCCTCACCTCCCAGTTCCCTCAGCTCCAGTTCCCTCACCTCCAGTTCCCTCAGCTCCCAGTTCCCTCAGCTCCTCAGCTCCCAGTTCCCTCAGCTCCCAGTTCCCTCAGCTCCCAGTTCCCTCAGCTCCCAGTTCCCTCAGCTTCCAGTTCCCTCAGCTCCCAGTTCCCTCAGCTTCCAGTTCCCTCACCTCCCAGTTCCCTCAGCTCCCAGTTCCCTCAGCTCCCAGTTCCCTCAGCTCCCAGTTCCCTCAGCTCCCAGTTCCCTCAGCTCCCAGTTCCCTCAGCTCCCAGTTCCCTCAGCTCCCAGTTCCCTCAGCTTCCAGTTCCCTCAGCTCCCAGTTCCCTCAGCTCCCAGTTCCCTCACCTCCCAGTTCCCTCACCTCCCAGTTCCCTCAGCTTCCAGTTCCCTCAGCTCCCAGTTCCCTCAGCTCCCAGTTCCCTCAGCTCCCAGTTCCCTCAGCTCCCAGTTCCCTCAGCTCCCAGTTCCCTCACCTCCCAGTTCCCTCAGCTTCCAGTTCCCTCACCTCCCAGTTCCCCTCAGCTCCCAGTTCCCTCAGCTCCCAGTTCCCTCAGCTTCCAGTTCCCTCACCTCCCAGTTCCCTCAGCTCCCAGTTCCCTCAGCTTCCAGTTCCCTCAGCTTCCAGTTCCCTCACCTCCCAGTTCCCTCAGCTTCCAGTTCCCTCAGCTTCCAGTTCCCTCACCTCCCAGTTCCCTCAGCTCCCAGTTCCCTCAGCTCCCAGTTCCCTCAGCTCCCAGTTCCCTCAGCTCCCAGTTCCCTCAGCTTCCAGTTCCCTCACCTCCCAGTTCCCTCACCTCCCAGTTCCCTCACCTCCCAGTTCCCTCACCTCCCAGTTCCCTCAGCTTCCAGTTCCCTCAGCTCCCAGTTCCCTCAGCTCCCAGTTCCCTCACCTTCCAGTTCCCTCAGCTCCCAGTTCCCTCAGCTCCCAGTTCCCTCAGCTCCCAGTTCCCTCAGCTTCCAGTTCCCTCACCTCCCAGTTCCCTCACCTCCCAGTTCCCTCAGCTCCCAGTTCCCTCAGCTCCCAGTTCCCTCAGCTCCCAGTTCCCTCAGCTCCCAGTTCCCTCAGCTTCCAGTTCCCTCAGCTCCCAGTTCCATCAGCTCCCTCACCTTCCAGTTCCCTCAGCTCCCAGTTCCCTCAGCTCCCAGTTCCCTCAGCTTCCAGTTCCCTCAGCTCCCAGTTCCCTCAGCTCCCAGTTCCCTCAGCTCCCAGTTCCCTCAGCTCCCAGTTCCATCAGCTCCCTCACCTTCCAGTTCCCTCAGCTCCCAGTTCCCTCAGCTCCCAGTTCCCTCAGCTCCCAGTTCCCTCAGCTCCCAGTTCCATCAGCTCCCTCACCTTCCAGTTCCCTCAGCTCCCAGTTCCCTCAGCTCCCAGTTCCCTCAGCTTCCAGTTCCCTCAGCTCCCAGTTCCCTCCCCTCCTTCACCTCCCAGTCAATGGGTCTCCTGGATGGGTTTTCAAATAAGAGGGAAATGTTTGCGCTGCAGCAGAACAACAACAACAACAACAACAACAACAAAACAAGGCATTGCACATAAGTAGAAATTAAAGAGTAGAAATAAACAATACTGTTGTTTTGTTGTTTTGTTGTTTCCGGTCATTTTTCTTTTGGCTTAACTTAAAAATCAATTAAAAATCAATTTTATGGATATATGATAATAATAATAATAAAATCATGCATTATAAACAGAGTTATTAAATGCATGATTAAGAATGACTCACTGTTAGACTGTAAAACAGCAGAGATCGGACTGAGGAGAATTTGGAGGAATTCTGAGAAGAGTTTTTTAAATGTTGACATGTGTTTCTCTCTGAAGTCAGCTGTGGCTCGGACCCTCCTGAGCAGGGGCATTCAACTCTGACCCTCCTGAGCAGGGGCATTCAACTCTGACCCTCCTGAGCAGGGGCATTCAACTCTGACCCTCCTGAGCAGGGGCATTCAACTCTGACCCTCCTGAGCAGGGGCATTCAACTCAAACTCAACGAGGTCCAGTTAGAGAAAAGGTCCGGAGCATCAACATGTCTAAGTTGCTTTATGAGTGATATATATTGAAGTAGCTGCAGCTGTATCAACGTCTGCATGTAATCAACAACTGACCGCCAATCAAATAAAGAAAGTACAATTAAAAAAACAACTATATTTATTGTCAATGAACATTGAACTATACAGATATACAGTAAATACTGTGGATATGTGTAATGTTCCTCTCTGGCTGCATTTAAAATAAAAATGTGTGCATCTTAAAAGTGCTTCATTTTAGATAAATACAATAAAGTGTAGCAGCAGCTTGAGTTTCCTTTTTCTTTGTTAACCTGTTTCACATCATGACCTAACAGTTTCAGACGATTATAGAATATCAGTCTTTACACATCATAACAATTGAACAGTTTTAAAGTTTCTCTTTCTGTCCCTCTTATATTCCCTCACTCACTTTTCTTTAATTCAGTGCGAGAATTGAGCTTGAGCTTGTCCTGCCAGGAGTTTAGATCTGGGCTGAAATGGTGTCAGGGCCATTCTCATACACACCTGCAGGTGCTCATTGGTTAGCCTCGGTTAGCCTCGGTTAGCCTCGGTTAGCCTGCCCTGGAACCATATTTAGTTTACATGTTGATCCTGGTGGACTGATCGTATCGGGCTCTGCTCATCTGACCTCAGTTCTGACTTGAGAGGGAATGTTTGGTCAAACACTTTGTGTTTTGTCTCATAGTGGCGTTTTGGCACTTTTAATGAGCGCCACGGTCTCTGAATGAGACACTGGCTCTGTGCTCCCAGTGGGCCGGAGGAACATGAATGAGTCCACTCAGGGTTAAAAGCTCTGCTCTCACTGTCCTCGTTCCTCTGATTAGAGAGCGCCATGTGTCATTATTTGTCTCTCCCTGTCTGCTGCTAACACGCCTGTTCTCTCTCCTCTCTGTCTTCTCTCCCTCACTGTCTCTCTCTCCCTGTCTGTCTCTCTCTCCTCTCCGTCTTCTCTCTCTGTCTGCCTCTCTCTCCTCTCCGTCTTCTCTCCCTGTCTGCCTCTCTCTCCTCTCCGTCTTCTCTCCCTGTCTGCCTCTCTCTCCTCTCCGTCTTCTCTCACTGTCTGTCTCTCTCTCTCCTCTCCGTCTTCTCTCCCTGTCTGCCTCTCTCTCCTCTCCGTCTTCTCTCCCTGTCTGCCTCTCTCTCCTCTCCGTCTTCTCTCCCTGTCTGCCTCTCTCTCCTCTCCGTCTTCTCTCACTGTCTGTCTCTCTCTCTCCTCTCCGTCTTCTCTCACTGTCTGTCTCTCTCTCTCCTCTCCGTCTTCTCTCCCTGTCTGCCTCTCTCTCCTCTCCGTCTTCTCTCCCTGTCTGCCTCTCTCTCCTCTCCGTCTTCTCTCTGCCGCTCACTCGTCTCTTCTTCTGTGTTTCTCTCCCTGTATCGCTCACTCGTCTCTTTCGCCCCCTCTCGGCGGCGGTTAAAATAGAATCGCCCCGTCAAAATGTAAATCCCCTATAAATGTATTGATTATAGGTCCGGGTCCGTATAGGTCGGCGTCTGAGTCCGCCTGTTACTGAACTAGACCTAGAGCATCAGAGAGTAGTAGCAGCAGCTGCATTAAGCTGCACTAAAGCAACACATGCATGCTTCTTTTTATATTTATATATATTATTATTTATTTTTTCATACTTTTTTTATATAACATTTTTTTCAGATTTCTTTTTTCCTGAAGAATTAGAGAGAAAATCTGAATTCTGATTTTTTTTTTGATATTTTTCATAAATGTTCTCTCAGGACTCAAACAGCGTGCCGATGAGCAGCCGCAGGAAGAAGGCCCCCCCGCTGCGGGTGGGCTGCGAGGCCAAAAAGAAGCTTGACTGGAACATGCTGGAGGATCGGAAGTGTGAAGGGGAAGAAAACAATAACAACCCCCCCACCTGCTCCTCACCCCCCCCCCATCACTCCCTCTCTCCCCCCTCCTCCAGAGACTTCCTGTCCCCCCCCCACCCTCTCCATCACCCTCTCCATCCTCCCCGTTGAAACGTCTCCCCCAGTTTGGACTGCTTTAATCGGGGAGTTCATCCTGAGTCCCGCCCCCGACTGTGGGAGGGGAACTCTCCTTCTGATGATAAACAGGGAGGGGCCGCTGTCCATCAGATACACAGCAGGGGGGGGGGCCATGCAGGAGGAGGGTCATGTGACCTGCAGTAGTCTGGGGGGGGTCAGCCTGCAGGATCTGGACTGGATGCAGAAGAGGAGCCTCGTTCAGCTGATGCACCGCCAGGAAGAGGGAGGGGTCAAGGTACGAGAAGGAAGACATCACTCAATACTTCACTTTCAGAGAGACAGAGAGACACAGAGAGAGACAGACAGACAGACAGACAGACAGACAGACAGACAGACAGACAGACAGACAGACAGACAGACAGACAGACAGACAGACAGACAGACAGACAGACAGACAGACAGACAGACTATACTATACTATACTATACTATACTATACTATACTATACTATACTCAGGTGTGCACATAACTTTTTTAGTGAGTTACTCAGATGAGTACCAAGAGACAGCGTTTGGTACTCACCCCACACGAAGCGTGGTCCTCCTCAGTGTCTCCTTCACTGTCCTCAATTTACACTTCTTGCATGCTAGATGATGAAGATGATGAAGATGCACCTCCCTGTCTCTTTTTAAGCCTCCGATTTGCTTTCTCCAAAACTTGTTGCCAAAACTGTGAAGTCCTTGCATTTCCTGAGGCCAAGTTGAAGGATCAAATACTAAGAAATGATCACATGACTTGAAGTCATATCTGATTTCAAATGTGGGAAGTAACAAAGCACACTTATTTACTCAAGTACAATTTTGAGATACTTGTAGTTGACTTGAGTATTTCTATTTTATGCTACTTTGTACTTCTACTTTTACTCCACTACATGTATTTAATACCTTTAGTTACTTACAGATGTGGATGAATGATGTGAAATATAATCCAAGTGTTAAATCAGACTTTAGTTCCACCTGGAGTAAATTCCACAAGCTACCCTGCAGTATACAAAGTCATTCAAACTAGCTGCACCTTTACCAGCTTTGAGAACACTTTCATGATCAATCATTATAAAACATATCATATTATTCTGAAATGGACCAATCTGCACAATGACTACTTTTACTGTCTCTACTTTCACTATATTTTGATAATACTTTTCTAATTTTACTTGAGTAACATTTTGAATGCAGGACTTTTACTTTAACAGAGTATTCCTACACAAGATCTGAGTACTTCTTCCACCTCTGTCTGATTTCAAACTCTTCCATAACACCCTGAGTAAGTTTGCAGCTGTGTGTTTCACTCCACTTTGGTGTAAATAAAACTGCAGCAGCTTGACCACAGAGCGTGAACGTTGTGATCAGATGATTTTGCGCAGTTCTCCAGTGTGTGCGCGGGGCACAGAATGTGCACAGGGGAGTCTCCCACCGCAGCCAGTTGGCGGACTTTTGGCACAATTCTGTTGTTTATACCGACGTTAACCCTGTCTGTGCACACGGCGACCAACTCTGTCGTCCAGTGATCTAAGCCTCTGCCTCCTGGAAAGCTTCACAGGTCCGTCGGTTATGTCCTGCGCGGCTCACCCAGCTCCAGTTCAATCAGTCATAGAAAGATTTTTTGCAGGGAGCGAAACGGCAACGTAGCTGCTTAATGTCTTTGGGTTTTTTGACATGCCTAGTACTTTACTCCATTGAGTGTTGACAAGAAACACGTGTAGACGAAATATGTGTTTTGTTTTGATGTTTTGAGGTACGCAAAGGCGCGTAGTGACACAAGTGACGTTACGCAATTCAGATTTGTGCCGCGCATGCGTACCTGCGTACCAGTTATGTGCACCCCTGACTATACTATACTATGAATTACTATATCCTACCCAAGTAAATCTCTCTCTCTCTCTCTCTCTCTCTCTCTCTCTCTCTCTCTCTCTCTCTCTCTCTCTCTCTCTCTCTCTCTCCTCTCTCTCTCTCTCTCTCTCTCTCTCTCTCTCTCTCAGGTGGGGGTTTACCTGCTGGAGGCGGGACTTGTGAAGCCGGAGTTCCTGAGTGGAGGAAACGCCCGCATGAAGAAAGCCAATCAGCTGATGCAGAAACTGATGGAGTATTTCTACGACTTCATCATCCCCGGTCTGACTCCTCATCTCTGATGGATAGATATTTATACACATTTTTACATATTTATAGTTCTTATATATGTTATTAAAATGTGCACGTTTTACCCGTAACTAGTTATGTCTAAATACATATTTTAATTACATTTATTTCAATTCATTTTAAGTTTTTTTGCAATTTCTTTAGTTTAATCTTGTATGTTTTTTATTTGGCTTTTTTATGGCACATTTATTTTTAACACTTCTTATTTATTTTAATTGCACATTTTAACTTTAATAATTAATTTAATTGTAACTAATTATTTAATTTGTTTAAAAATGATACAATAAAAAAAATTGTTTTTAATGTATATTTATTATTCATCATCTTTTAAAATGATATCTTATGTATTATTTAAAATAAAGTATTGTGACTGCTGGGTTCTCCTCTCTAATCTCCTGCTGTTTGATGGTTCCCTGCAGAGGTGGTGGAGGGGGAAGAGTTAGAGTGTGACACGGATCTGGAGAGGCAGAACGTGGAGGAGATGTACGAACACGTGAGGCTGCAGCACCAGAGCGAGGGCGTCGGGGGGGAAATCTACGACGTCCAGCACCAGGCCCTGATCCCCGTCCTCAGACCCTATCAGAGCCAGGCCGTCAACTGGATGCTGAGCAGAGAGAAGTACAGGAGCAGCCAGGACACAGGTACCAGAGAGGGTCCTGTACTCAAGTAGAAGTACACACATCCTGTACTCAAGTAGAAGTACACACATCCTGTACTCAAGTAGAAGTACACACATCCTGTACTCAAGTAGAAGTACACACATCCTGTACTCAAGTAGAAGTACACACATCCTTTACTCAAGTAGAAGTACACACATCCTGTACTCAAGTAGAAGTACACACATCCTGTACTCAAGTAGAAGTACACACATCCTGTACTCAAGTAGAAGTACACACATCCTTTACTCAAGTAGAAGTACACACATCCTTTACTCAAGTAGAAGTACACACATCCTGTACTCAAGTAGAAGTACACACATCCTGTACTCAAGTAGAAGTACACACATCCTGTACTCAAGTAGAAGTACACACATCCTGTACTCAAGTAGAAGTACACACATCCTGTACTCAAGTAGAAGTACACACATCCTTTACTCAAGTAGAAGTACAGATACTCGTGTTTAAAAATACTCTGGTGAAAGTAGAAGTACTGACTAAACTTCTTTACTCAAGTCAAAGTAAAGAGGCTTTGAAATGTACTTCAGTAAAAAGTACCCATAACTAGCAGCTGTTTTAAAGAGTACCTGACCTCCCTTTATATTAATAGAACAATAATGTCATTGTTAGCTAATGAATGTTTCCATGCTGAACAACGGCAACATGACAACGTTTTCATTGGTCCCTCTTCTTTAGAGAAGACCAGGAAATGATGGATACACGGATCGTGTTCAAATCAATAGGCACGCAATGACTCTAAATAATAATGATCACCCATCCCAAACACACATGTCAAACTAAAAGGAACCAGCCTGTTTGTGAAAGTGAGAAGTAGAAAGTTACAGGTATTTGTGTTCAAACATGTAAGAAGTAGAAAGTAACAGGTATTTGTGTTCAACATGTAAGAAGTAGAAAGGATACCGGTGTTTTGTGTTCAACATGCTAAGAAGAGAAGTACAGGTATTTGTGTTTCAACATGGTAAGAGTAGAAAGTTACAGGTATTTGTGTTTCACATGTAAGAAGTAGAAAGTAGGTATTTGTGTTCAACATGTTAAGAAGTAGAAAGTACAGGTATTTGTTCAACATGTAAGAAGTAGAAAGTACAGGTATTTGTGTTCAACATGTAAGAAGTAGAAAGTACAGGTATTTGTTCAACATGTAAGAAGTAGAAAGTACAGGTATTTGTGTTCAACATGTAAGAAGTAGAAAGTACAGGTATTTGTGTCAACATGTAAGAAGTAGAAAGTACAGGTATTTGTGTTAACAATGTAAGAAGTAGAAAGTACAGGTATTTGGTGTTCAACATGTAAGAAGTAGAAAGTACAGGTGTTTGGTGTTCAACATGTAAGAAGTAGAAAGTACAGGTATTTGTGTTCAACATGTAAGAAGTAGAAAGTACAGGTATTTGTGTTCAACATGTAAGAAGTAGAAAGTACAGGTATTTGTGTTCAAACATGTGAAGAAGTAGAAAGTACAGGTATTTGTGTTCAACATGTAAGAAGTAGAAAGTACAGGTATTTGTGTTCAACATGTGAGAAGTAGAAAGTACAGGTATTTGTGTTCAACATGTAAGAAGTAGAAAGTACAGGTATTTGTGTTCAACATGTGAGAAGTAGAAAGTACAGGTATTTGTGTTCAACATGTAAGAAGTAGAAAGTACAGGTATTTGTGTTCAACATGTAAGAAGTAGAAAGTACAGGTAGTTGAGTTCAACATGTAAGAAGTAGAAAGTACAGGTATTTGGGTTCAACATGTAAGAAGTAGAAAGTACAGGTATTTGTGTTCAACATGTAAGAAGTAGAAAGTACAGGTATTTGTGTTCAACATGTGAGAAGTAGAAAGTACAGGTATTTGAGTTCAACATGTAAGAAGTAGAAAGTACAGGTATTTGTATTCAACTACATGTTGAACACAAATACCTGTACTTTCTAGAAGTAGAAAGTAAAAAGTGGTCAGAAAAATAAGTAGTGGAGTAAAGTACTGATAGCAGTAACAAAGTATTTGTACTCCACTTCCTGTCAGTCACTCTGGCTAAAACCCTCTCTACAGGTATTCTCTCTCATGTAAAACTAAAAAGGTAAAAAAAGGAGCTTTAGTCGCGATTTTGCACAAATTATTCAGATAACTTTCAGGAAAGTATAGCATAAATATTTCTTGTTTGTTTGCCTTTTCTTTCCCCTGAAAGGGAAATTAAATATTCGACTTCCTGCTGAGATACAGGTTCAGGGACTCGCTCCCACGTGACCTGATGATCCGCGTGACCTGCGTTACAGCTCTGAGAGCTACGGGTTGTTTCTCTGAATGTATTCCCCTGTGTTTGCAGAGCAGAGTCTGCACTTCCTCTGGAGGGACTTCATCTCTCTGTGTGGGAAGAAGCTGTTCTACAACCCGTTCACCGGCTGGTAAGAAGGTCAACGGTCCCAGACGCACGTTTTCTATCAACAGCAGTATTATAAAGTGAGGAGGTCAACGGTCCCAGACGCACGTTTTCTATCAACACCAGTTTTATAAAGTGAGGAGGTCAAACGTTGTATGTCCTTCAGTGGCTGCACGCCCCCTCCCTGCAGTCCTATTTTCTGTCAGGATAGTGTTGGAAAAAGTCAAAATTCTAAAAGTCAGAATTCTGAGAAAAAAGTCAAAGTTTCGAGAAAAGTCCCAAAAAAAGATCAAGATTCTGAAAAAAAACTTTGAAATTCTAAAAAAGTCAGAATTCTGAGGATAAGGTCAAAACTGAAGTGTGCT